CACATTAGGAATGTGTCCTAAAGTACTAACAGGTTTTCAGTAAATATTTGTTATATGGATAAGTAACTCCAAACTGGCTGAAGATGGGAGTACAATGGAGATTGTTCAATCTTAAACAAAATAAGATTGTTCTTATTTTTTTTCATAAGAAAATTAACTTTGGCAGCTTCTTTAAACAAGACTTTCCTCCCAGTGTACCTGAACTGGACCAGGCTTCAAAGACTCAAATCTGTTCACACCGTTCAGGGCTTCATCAAGTAAAAGCAGTGTCCTCCAGCTGGCTCCAAGGGCTCAGGGGAGCTGAGTGTTAAGTTCTCGGGAATTTTGCAAACTGGTTGTTAAACATGATCATTCTGAACATTAAATTACATAAACTCGCCAATAAGTTATATTCAAAACATTCAAACTCTTCAACTCTTAGCTGAATCTGTTTTTAGAATCTTACTTACAGAATTAAGTGGACTGGGTTAATAAGTCTTTCCTTGATACTAATCTCTCTGATCTTTATCACTACACTAATTTTACATAATCAAGCAGACTGGGCCCAAGAGAAGGACTTAGCCACAAATAACCTGTGGCAAGAGGACTATTTGAAGGAAGAAGGATCCTCTTCAACAAACCTTTATTTAGCAGCTACCGTGGGCAAAGCTGGGTGAAGGCTAGGGAAGACAGGAACTCCCTTTAGAGGAGGTGACCGGAAACCGTTGATGATACAGTGTGGTAAGTGGTAACTGCTCTAATGGAGATACAGAAGCATGGAGGAGACAGCTAACTCAGACACCACAAAAGAGACTTCAGCAAGAAGTTGGCCCACAAGCACCAGCGTCTGTCTTGCTCTCTACTGTGTCCCTAGCACCTAGCACAGTGCCTGGCACAGGGTTGGATGAATGAAGGAGGTAACGATTTTGATCCTGGGAAAATAAAGCTGCCAGATAAGAGTGGGTAGAGGGAGGGCATTAGTGAAGTACATGTGGAAGTATGGGGGCGGGAGGGCCAAAGAGCTCAGTGCATTTGAAGAAAGACAAAGTTTAACGTGGTGCGAGGAATCCAGGGGCTGGAACCGATAAGGATGCGAGTATGGAAGAGGGTATCTCTGTCTCAAGTCTCTGCAGAGCTCTGAAGAAACAAAAAGAGTTGGCTTTTTCTGCACAGCCTTAGGGGGGAGCTGGGTGCGATGTGGGGAGTCACAGAGAATCAGATAATCAGTTAAAGAACTTTCTAACAGAGCTGTCCAATAATGCAATTGGCTGGCTGCCTTGGCAGGCAACAAGCAAGTTCCCTAAGAGGGAAGAAGCAGGTACTAAACTTGGTGCAACAAATTATTAGATACCTTTTTTTTTATTAGATTTTGGAAGAATCTATCAAGTCTCCTTTCTAAAAGGACAACCCTCTTGGGGCACCTGGGTGGCTCAGTGTGTTAAAGCCTCTCTGCCTTTGGCTCAGGTCATGGTCCCAGGATCCTGGGATCGAGCCCCACGTCAGGCTCTCTGCTCAGCAAGGAGCCTGCCTCCCCCCACCTCTGTCTGCCTCTCTGCCTACTTGTGATCTCTGTCTGTCAAATAAATAGACACAAATCTTCAAAAAAATAAAATAAAATAAAAGGATAACCACCTTAATGAACAACCATTTCAACAACAATTCTACAGAAGATGCAGAGATTTCCCTCAAGGGCTTGTTTCTTATGTCAATCATTGATTAAAACCGACAGCAGTAGGCACGCGGAAGGCTCCCCCATTGAAGAACAAGATCTTTTCAAACCACTGAGGTCTCCACTCATTCATGAAGCAATTATTTCTTTGTGTGTCAGGGACCTTGCTAAGTGCTAGAAGTACAGATATAAAGGAAAAAAGGACCCTGCTCCCCACAGTACTGAGTAGAAACGCAAAGAAATATTTACTCCAAAATGCAAATACATATTTACACTCCAGTAGTTGCTATACAAAGTGCTCTGGGAAACACAAAGACAAAAAATTTGTTTTGATTCGAGGAACTCTGGGAAGGCCTCAGAGAGAAAATCACTCAGAGCTGACTTTTGAAGAGTTAAAAGGAATTCACTAGCTAGAGGAGGAAGGAAATGGTGCAGGCAGAAGGGAAACACATACAAACATATGAAGGTGTGAAAATGCACAGACGGTTTGGGGAAGTGAGTGAGTGGAGTGCAGGGTGGATGGGATTGATAAGTAGGAAGCAAAATGTGCAGCCTTGAATCCAATGCTACCAATTTGGGATTTTAGTCTGTAAATGATAGGAGGCCTATCATTTTTTTTCTGTTATTTATTCAATAAACTTTTCATTTTTTTTCCATTTTGGAAATCTTTTAGATAGAAAAGTGACAGAGAGAGTACTGAGTTCTTATCTAAGAAGCCTATATCCTCCACCCTACTTTCCCCAATGCTAACATCTTACATAGCCAAGGAACCTCTTCCTAGACGAAGAAACCAAGATTAGTACATAACTATTAACTAAAGTATAGACTTGGTTCACCAGTTTTTCCGCTAATGTCCTTTTACTGTCCCAGAATCTGGTCTAGGATACCACGTTGCATTTAATGTGATTTATATATTTATTTATTTGCTTCCAATAATGGATTTTTTAAAAAGATTTTTATTTATTTATTTGACAGACAGAGATCACAAGTAGGCAGAGAGGCAGGCGGAGAGAAAGAGAGGGAAGCAGGCTCCCCGCTGAGCAGAGAGCCCGATGCGGGGCTCGATCCCAAGACCCTGAGATCATGACCTGAGCCGAAGGCAGAGGCTTAACCCACTGAGCCACCCAGGTGCCCCCAATAATGGATTTTTAAAAGATATTTATTTATTTGAGAGAGAGAGAGTGCTTGTGCTTGCACACACAAGAGCATGAGTGGGGGCAGAGGGAGAGGAAGAGAAGCCGACTCCCGACTGAGCAGGGAGCTGGACACTACATGGGGCTAGATCTCAAGACCCTGAGATCATGACCTGAACCGAAACCAAAAGTCTATTGTTTAACCAACTGAGCCCCCCAGGGGCCCCTCCAATGATGGATTTTAAGGAGAAAGTGATGTGATCAGATTTGTCAGTAGAAACATTCAGCAGAATTCTTAGGGCACATGTGAGGAAAATACATTGGAGGGATCCAGATTAGTGGAAGCCTCGCTTAGAAGCTGCTGGCAAAGCCCAGGTAAGGGATGACAATTGCCCCAACTCTGGGAGCAGTGAGGATGGAGAGGAGGACTAAGGTGTATTTGGGTTTCAGGGTAGAGATACTTCCTGAAGTAGAACAGGCAGGACATAGGACAGGCCAATCTTAATTCACCTCGTCCATATAAGACGTGAATATATGTGTACAGAAGACTTTAAACAAAGATGGAGAAAGGAAAGATCTCTGTCCCAGATCCTTGGGATGAGATTATCTCTGCAATGAAGCCCTACACTCAAGTCTGAGCTCCCCAAAAGCCAACGAAAAAAAGGGAAGCATGATGACATGCTTCCTTATAGCTGTCATTATCGGTTAGAATCAAGTATACTCAGGGAAGACAAAGAGACTGGCCAGATTGAAGTGGGAGAAATTAAGTCTGGAGGGCCCCTGGGGGTAGATAATGGTTGTCCCTGATTCTGAGAGCCCTGGGGAAGCTCCATCTCTGGGGACCCCTGGTTCTTCCCAGTGCCCTTTGTTCTGGGGGGGATAGTCTGGCAGCACAGGGAAGTGGCAAGCCCAGCCTTATTGTAAGAAGATATCTTTACAACCAGCCAGCCAGAAGTGTGAGAAGCTGGAAAGGATTCTTTACCAGGGGGCATGTGGCTCAGTATCCCATCGTACCTCTTCTTCTCATCCTCTCCCCTCCCCTGCTCACTGGACTTTCTAGGAGCTCTGCAAGAGAAGCTGGGCAGGAAGTTGAGGTCCAAAGCCAGATGGATGAACTTAATCAAAATGGCCCAGCAAGTTACGGAGAGAGCTGAGAGAAGGACCCTGCCGTTTTGACTTCAGATCCTGGGTGTTTCTTATCGGGAAGGCTCAGGAGTCCTACTAATTCATGCATTCATTCAACACAAGGAATAGAGCACTAATCATGGGGTTGTGGGGCTGTACCCACAGGGAGCTCACCTTCTGGTGATGACACTTTGACAACCAGCTCTCTGGGGAGAGGACTGAACTTGGCCATCGCTCTCAGGGAGGTGCAGACCTTACATGCAGAGACCAAGGAGAGATCATATCCTGCTTCAGGAGTGAGAGGGGGAATAGCAGAGGAAGACTTCCAGAGGAAGGGCCAAGAATCCCGCTGGACTGGATTTCAACGTAGGCACGGAGCACATAAAAGGGTAGCAAGGGGAACTGGTAAGGTCATTCCAGCTGCCTGGAATTATGACCCCCTCTTTTTTGAGATGTGAGTACTTTGACGTTCATTATCTCATTTCATCTTCGGAAAAAATGTGGAACGTATTAAAATCCCCATTTTAGATTCCGAGGTGGCATGTCCAAGACCACAGAGTTAAGAATGGCAAGTGTCCTGATTTCATCCCCAGTTATGTGCACGCATCGCCCAGCCCTGAGCGCCTTGCGGTTCCCGAAGCCCGATTCCCCTCTCCCACCACGACATCTCATCCTTCCCCACCCGAAAGTTCCACCTGAAGCCTAACTGGGTTGCGCCCTCCTGCGCCCTGGGCGCCGCGGAGAGTCAGGGGTTAAAGCCCGTGGTCCGGGTGGCCCCTTCCCCCTCCCCAGCCCTCTCGCCTCCTCTCGGCGCCGAGCCTGGAGCGTGCGTCCCGGAGACCCGCACGAGAGAGGAGGGGAAAAGTGGGCCTGTTTCTCGGGTGGCCAATCCACCGAGCCCGCGGTGCCCCAGAGGAGGCGCCAGTGCTAGGCCAGCGCCAGGCCGGGGCTGCCTGCTTCCCGCGGCAAAGTACAAATGCGCCCGAGCGCGGCGCCTGGAGCCCTTGGCGTGCACAGCCGGCCCGTGCTCAGCCAGCCCCCGCGGCCGCCGCGCCGTCGCCGCCGCCGGTACCGCCGCCCAGCCGGGCCCCAGGACCCCGCAGCCTTACCCCGAGCCCACTGAGCAGAGGGCGCCGGGCGCTTGTAGCCGGCGCGCCCGGATCCGCCCGCTGGTCCCGCGTGCCTCGCCCAAAGCTGCGCGCTCTGCAGACCCCTGTCCTCCCCGTCTTTCTCCACTTCCCCTCCATCTCACCTTCCTTGCTTTTATTGCTTTCCCTTCTAGCCGCACCTTCCTCCATCTCTCCATCTCTCTCTCTCCTCTTCCCTTGTTCTCTTTCCACCTTCCTCTTATTCCCACCTTGGACCTCCCTTTCTGTCCTCACCACCTACTCCACCCTTCTCTGACTCTCCAGTATAGAGGCAGCCCTCCCTGGGTCTGCAGGCTGCTTTGTGCCCCAGTGCCTCAGTGTCTTCATCTCACTTTCTCCCGACGCCCCTCCTGGCTCAGCGCCTGGCGGCCTGGCCCTGGGGGAAGGAAGGATGGTTCCCGAGGTAAGGGTCCTCTCCTCCTTGCTGGGACTCGCGCTACTCTGGTTCCCCTTGGACTCCCACGCTCGAGCCCGTAAGTAGGGGTGGTTGGGGCTGGGTAGGCAGAGGAGGGATTTGAGCCCCTGGGATGTTCGGGGGGGGAAAGTGCCAGGACTCTCGACCCCAAACTATTCTGATAGCCATGCGGGCAGCACCTGTGGGGGAGAGTGGAGACTCCTCTGCCGACCAGTATGGGCTGATGAGTGTGGGATACTGGGGGGGCTGGGGGGGGAGGGGCTTGGCAAAACTCAGAGGTGGAGATGGCTGCCCTGGACCTGAGGATGGGGGTACTGAGGGCGGTGGGAGAAAGGGCAGGATACTGGGTGGGTGTGTGTGTGTGTGTGTGTGTGTGTGTGTGTTGGCTGCTGGTGGTGCTTCACGTTCTCAAGAGAGAGCTGCGCATGTCTGCCTACATGGGTGTGATGGAAGTGATGGAGATGTAGGCTACTGCTTTCAAAAGAAGCCCACGGAAAGAAAGAAGAGCTAACTAGACAACCTCATTCCGTTACCCCCTGTGATCCTCACAACACTCCCATGAGGTGGGTACTGTCATTTGCATTTTACAGATGAGAAAACAGGTTGACAGAAGAAACTTGCTGAAGTTTTCAGAGCTAGCCATCCAAAGCGTGAGCTCTCCAATTCCAAATCCTCTGCTTTTTCCCCCTGCCCCTCAGCATCTGGAAGGAACCCTGATTTGGAGTTTTAAGACTCCGGGAGACAACAAAGACACAAGGAGATACACCAGTCTTCACAATCCCTGATCTTTTTTTTTTTTTTTAAGATCTTATTTATTTATTTGACAGAGAGAGAGAGCACAAGTAGGCAGAAGCAGGCGCGGTGGGGGGGGGGGAGCAGGCTCCCTGCTGAGCAGAGAGCTTGATGCGGGCTCGATCCCAGGACCCTGAGATCATGACCTGAGCCGAAAGCAGATGCTTAACCCACTGAGCCACCCAGTCACCCTATCACTCATCTTTTTAATACCACCAGCAAGTGGAGGGTACCTCTCTAAGCCTCAGTTTCCTAATCTTTAAACTGGGAGTTAAAATCCCAGGACTGTTGTAAGAATTAAATTGGAGAAAATATGTCAAGCAACTAGCACCAGCAACTAGCTGGTGTCATTAAAAATATCAGTCTCCTAATTCACACTCCTCCACTTAGATGCCGTGTAACCTCAAACAGTTTAAATCATCTCTCTGAACCTCAGTTTCCCCCGCCCCTGCAAAAGGCTGGTGGATGCCCTCCTCATCCCCAGTCTCTTGGAATGCTTGAGGATGGAAAACAAAACCAAAAACTCACTTAATGAGAAGGAAGGAGCTAAGTTCAAATCCTAAAATACCTGATAAAGAAACAGAGGACAAGGAGGGGTAGGGGTCTGCTCTAGGTTACACAGCACGGGGCCTGGGATGAAGACCCTGGTTTCCCAAGTTCCAGCCTAGCGCTCTGTCCTCTCCACAGCCCACCTCCCCCTTTCTTTTGCTGCCTTTCTTTTGCATGTGACTTTCTGGAGCTGGCGGGCCTGGATTCTGTTTCATTCCTGTCTCTGCTTGTGAGGGCAGGCTGCGTGTCTGGTCGTCTCTGGGCTGCCAGCAGCATGAGACTCATAGAAGTCCTTAGTAACGAGTAATGGAAAGAACTCAGTGTTGGGTTCAAGTCCTGCCTCTGGCCCTTAGCAGCTGTGTGACTTTTCCTACGTCACAACTTCTCTGAGCCTCAATTTCTTCATCTGAGACACAGATGCACCTGGAACCCAAAGGTTCTTGCGAGGATTCAAGGAGGTGACCGTGTTAAGTTAGCCAGCACAATGCCTAGTACTCAGTAAATGTCTCCTCCCCTTCCTTGGGCCCTGAAGGTTTCCTCCTAACACTTACCCGTTGTTTCTTGAAAAGGACTTACCACAGAATGCCCTCCACACCTGCCTCCCTTCCTCTTGGCACAGCCTTCTTAGCCCCCAAGGCTTTTCTCCAGGCATTGTTGCCCTGGCTGCATCTGTGAAAGATGTCCCAGAATCAGATCATTGTGCATGATTGCTGATTTCCTACCCACACCCGTCTTGTCAACCTCCCACATCTTGCCAGCCCTTCATCACCCTGCTGGGTCACACTTCTTCCAGCAAACTCTCCCTGGCCACCCACGCCCCTTCCATCTCCTTCCTCCGTGCCTCCACTGGCCTTCAGGCCACCTCTCACTGGGTGCTGCCAGAATTCTATCTCCCCTCCAGCCTGGAGCTTAGCTCCACACACGTGAGAAAACAACTCAGAGCAGACTGGGATTAAGGGGAGGTGGACTGGCATTCAGAGGGGCGTGTTCAGATTCTGGGATGTCAGTGCTGAAAGAGCCTTTGAAAATCATCTGCTTCTACCTGCAATTTTGCTATCCTTAGAGTTAAACTCAAGCCCAGGAAGTGGGAGAGACTTGCCCAAGTTCATACTGCAGATTTATTAACGAAAAGAATCAACAGATGTGTCACTTATTGGTTGTGCCCACTGGGACAAATCACTTCCCTCTCTGAGTTTCACTTTGTCTAGTGCTGACTCTCCATGAATCTAGGAACAATCCTATTTTAGCATCACTTGCCAGGGTCCTATTTGGGGGTCTCTTAGGAAGGTCCTTGTCTTAGTTCAAGTAAGATCCCAGGCCTGTCGTGCCTAAGAAATCTCCTGGTGAAACCTCAGGTGCTTTCAGAAGTGGTGCCCACAGATGGGAGTTCTCAGGTCTGTATCATGTCAGACTCCCAAGGGCTCAGCTCACAGGATTCAAAGGCCTGTGAGCACACAGAGCCGTGGGCTCCTCGGTTACAGCGAGAGGCTGTTCCAGCAAAGGTTATTCTGTCCTTGGCTCTGTTTCCAGCCACAGACTGAGTTCAACCTGGACGGAGTCTCAACTCTGGCCATGGACTGAGTCCCGATCCTCAAAACTCTGACCACAGATCGAACCCTGATTCCAGGTCCATGACCTGGTCACTGACTGATACTGATCCCAGCCCCAGGCGGAGCCACGGACATGCGTGATGTTCATCAGTCTGGGCACCCATCCCTCTGGAATGAGAACCTGCGGAGTATCTTGACTCCCTCTCCAGTGCTCTGCCCCATGTCAGTGCCTCTCTATTGTGCGCTTCCCTTGCTAATTGGTCCCTCCCACCCCCATCCTTAAAGTATCTGACATGCTTCTGCTTTCTCTTCCCTCTGGCTGTCCGATCCTGCTTTCAGGAGACAGTTATCAAGTAAAAACATCAATCTCTATGTCCTCTCCAAGGATTATGTGTATGGTAGGAATCGAAGCTTCTGTCCTCAAGTGACAGGATGCCAGACTGCAGAAGTAGAGATGGGGCAGGAAGGGAACTCCCATTGTGTGAGGTGGCACAGAGGACAAACTGGAATCAGAAGGTCCGGGCTTCAGTCTGGCTCTGCTACTCATTCCAACTGTGACACCAGACAAGTTGTCATTCTCTGACTCTCAGTTTTCCCAGCTGTTAATAGAGTTGGTTGACCCAAACAGATCATTGTTGAGGACCGGTCTGGCTTTAACATCTTGTGATTCTAAGACTCTAAGATCCAGAGATGCTGTTGCCTTGATTCTGAGTCTGCTCTGGACTTTGGAAAAGGAATTTGGGGGCGTTTTGATCTACAGCCTTGTCCTCCTCTCCTCCGACACCAGAGAGCATACCTAGAAGGCCTAGAATAGTGAGTGTGGAGGGAGACCCACTAGTAGGAACCCTGCCCTGCTGTTCAGCTTAGTTGCGTCCGCATCTACCTGTCCAGATGTACATGGGGGAAGGTGGGCATCTGGGTGGGTAAAGTCTTGGCATCTGGCTCCAGGCAGGCCCCTCCCTGGGTGGGTCTAGATGGTTCTGCACCTCCTCTCTCCCACCAGTAGAGGTCTCTGTCTCACTCACTCGCCGAGCTGGAGCCGGGCAACAGCTGCACAGTTGTTCAGCCGTTGCACCTGTTCCAGGACTGCCCTCTCAAGTTCCCCCAGCCACTAGCCACGGCGCCGGCCTCTGGGAGAGGGATCCTGAATCCTTTGGACTCCCAAAGAGAAGGACTGGCGTGAGCGCGGTGCCCCTGGGAGGTGCAGTGCTGAGATCATTTCAGGGAAGCCCCTAGACAGGATCCTATCTCATACCAGGGAAGGCCGTTCCAGTCTTCTTCTGATACTCATTCTTATAGTCAGGATTCTTCCTTAGGGCTCACCTGGATCCCTCCGTTTGCAATTTAAAGCCTTTTCTTCCGGTCCTGCCCCTTTAGGGGAAAGATATTCCCATAAGCAGCCTCCCAGATCCAAAGACTGCCATTGGAGCTTGTGCTGGCATAAATCAATGATCTTGGGCGACTCCTGACCCTCTTCTAGGACTGTATCCACATCTGTAAAATAAAGGATTGGACATCATCTCTCAGTCCCTTTCTAAGATACTCTGAATCTAAATGCACGTGTCCAAGGCATAAGAGAAGGTAAATAGTCTCATCTCTGCCCTCCCCCCACCCCCCCGACCCTGGCCAGTAATAGAGCTGCCTTTCCTGGTTAGAAAGTGTTCCCCTTTGAGGTACTTCTGTGCTCCTGAACATCTGTCATGTGCCAGAGAAGAGGAGTCAGGTTCAGAGAAGTGAGGGCTTTTTCCCTTGGTCGCCCAGCTTCACCGCTGAAGACCTGAGGTTTTCCCTTCTGATTCCCTCCTCCACTGAGTGCCAGAGCCCAGAGCAGAGCTTATGTCTGAGAGGGAAGCAAGTTTGTTTGTGTGAGAGGGAACTATAAATAAATAAAGTATGGTTGTGTGGATGCAAGGGAAAGATGGGAACATTCTCAAATTCCTGCATAGCTGGCTCGCTCCGGTCCTTGCCGGCTGCAGACAAGCCAGCCACAGTCCCGGGCCTCTCTTCTCACACCCCACACCCCCTGGTCCCCTCCAGCTTCCCCTGTATCCCAGAAATTTCTTTCTGGGTGTCTTTTCTGCTTCCTGTTGGAAGAATTCTCAATCACACTACCCACTCCTAACTATCCCCTCAGAGGCCTTTAGCATAGATGAGGGTTTCAAGGCAG